AAATTATTGAAATCGGACTAAAATAACGGCCGCTTCTCATATAACGGTAAATTTTAGAAATGCTTGAAACTTCAATATTTCGAAATTGAAGGACGCTAATTTACTTAAAATTGATACACCCCGGCTTACCATCTAGCGGAAGGTTTCGGAAAGAAATCTGAAAAAACATATATTTAATACTTGCGCCGGGTATTTAATGTTCGGCTCCGCCCGAACTTAGACTTTCTTACTTGTTAAAAATTAATTTTCCTTATATTTCTTTCCGCAACACAACCAAAACACTTTTAAGCAAAACCAAAATGTAAACAATTCCGATGTTGCCCATTTAAAATAAAAAGCATTGAAATAAGCTGAAAATATTAGAAATCTAAGAAAAACTCTTTGGAAGTACATCAAAATTTCATCCGGCAACATCATACAACGTAACCGAGACGATTGCAACGTAATCGACGTAAAGACAAGACGAAGACGAACGACAGAGTTACAAAATTGCAATCCGTGACGATATCGCCTACAGACGAATCGTTCGTGCGGCCTATCGTTCGAGATACATAATAAGGCTGTATGTTTGCCCCGTATTCGGCTGCCATAAATGTAGTCACCCAGTGTTGGGAAATGAAATTGTTCCTTCAGTACGAAATCTATACAAAAGCTATACTTTTCGACTGTAAATTGTATAGACTTCTTAATTTGCTCAAATATTTTCCTAGTTCATGCATACATAGATCCCCTTCAAGACCAATGATTTGATGGTATTCATGGGAAAATTTATATAGGCACATTTACATATCTTACACCTTTAACATAAATGTGTATGCACATATTTTAAGGTACACTTCTTAACAAACAAATTTTGTTAAGTTATTATGAGTGGAAAAAGAGAAATCTTCTTTGTATTCAGTTCTAAAACTTGACATTTTAATAGTATTTCAAGTGCTTATCAAAACTTTACTACACGCACATATTGACAAGATTGGCCATTTATCTTAAAATTATTTAATTTCAATTAATTGTTTATAAAAATGCAGTTTACACTTTAACAAAACCCGTATAAATTCAAGGTTCAATCTTTGCGCAACATTAAAAAAATCAACAAACTTTCATAAAAATTCCGGCTTTTTAATTAGATTTCCCAGAAATTCATATTTTGAGTATGCAGTGTTGTAGCCCGGTCAATTTAAATAAAGTACATGTTTGGAATAGCTGCGACTTATCGTTGATTTTTAATATACATATCTATATATATTTTTTTTTGATGAAGGTGCTGCTCATTTTCTTCATTAACAAAATCGTACTTAGATAGTATCGAAGAATATGACCGACATCTTCAAAAAAAGCCACACATCACTGGTAAATCCCAGCTACTTTAAACTTGCACTTTATTATACTAAAATTGAATGAGCTGAAAAACTGCAAAATATAAAATAAATTAAATAGAAAGCACGAAATTTTTACGAAAGTTGGTCGATTTTTTTTAATGTTGTTCAAAGATTTA